CGCACTCTCAATTTTACCCAAATTCTCCACCACACACGCTAATAATTCTTCCTTTGGAAGCTCCTTATCAAGATTCATCAATTGGTCTTTTGATTCTTTGCATTTCAAGGTTTTGGAGTTACGATCATAAAGCATCAGTCCGCTTTTGTTATGAATTATACAACGACGGTGAACAGATATATCAACTTTGTGTAATTTCAAGAAAGGTGTGCCACAGATCATGTCGTATCCACCGTTGAGTTTCGCGACTTTGAAGAAATTTGCTCCAAATCGAATGGACGGTTCCTTAGAATCCAAGTTAGCAAACGTGAAGTGAGTAAGTTGCTTCACTGGCCCTTCAGACTCAAGAGCGAGACCCACAGTTACGGGTTTAACCAGAGGACATTTTGGTAACCGAGCCTTCTGCACCAGATACTTGTCCATGAGGTTTGTTTCGCAAGCTGAATCAAACAAAGCACGTATGGGAACACCGTTACAAACAAGGTCAACAATGATCGATGGTTCCCTTTCACCAGGTACGCACCTCTCTTGCTTTTCCTCTTCCACGCGTGCCACTAACACCTTATCCGCTCCTGCATAACGTTCCAGCTCCTCATCCGTAAGTTCAGGCAACTCGGTTACACTACAAGAAAGATGATATTTTCTGCACGGAAAAGAAAAGTCTTGACATAAAAAACTATTGAGATCTCAGGAGGAGAGCAAAAAATACAAAAATATATGCACCTTGTTGCCTGCTATCAGAGCTTTAATCCAACTTTTTTTTGGTATTTTTAGAGTCTCTTTTGATGAATGTACTAACAATAAACCTTCAATTTCATCAAATTACAACCTGTAACAAATGCTGAGATTTGGCTCACAAAGATCAAATGGACATTTTGATGTCTAAGAAACCACATAACTTTTGCATTTGGGCATGAAAAACCTTGATTTTGAGTTCATTAGAAAGCTGAACATCTGCTCCAGAGCTTTCATTGAAGGTGAAAATGTGTGGCTAGTCTGGTAAGGGCGTTATGGAGACATATGTGTGAATTGTTTCAAACTTCTATAACTTCTTTCACTCAACAGCCAGAGCTCTTAGTCCATAACAAAGTATGTCCAGAATGCATTCAGCTTTCTAATGAGTTAATGATCAAGTCCTTTGGAGCGGAATTCAAAAAGTTATGAGTTTTCTCAGAAATAAGAATGTCCATTTGATCCTCATGAGCCAAATTTCAGTCTTTGTTACAGGCTGTAATTTGATGAAATTGAAGGTTTATTGTTAGTACATTCATCAAAAGAGACTCTAAAAATACCAAAAAATACTTGAATTAAAGCTCTGATAGCAGGCAACAAGGTGCATATATTTTTGTATTTTTTGCTCTCCTCCTGAGATCTCAATATTTTTCTATGTCAAAACTTTTCTTTTCCGTGCAGAAAATATTATGTTTCTTGTAGTGTTAGTGCCGCAATGCGCGTTGGAGCCGTGTTACTGGTTGTCGGACAGCCTGCCGGTTTTTGAAGTGCGGCTCCAGGTAGAGGGCGAGGTTCGTTACGGGGTGGACGAGGTCCAGCATTGAACTGATCTGGTGGTGGGACGCTTATGAAGGTGTTGGAGAACTCGGTACAGCTTGGATTGCCACATTTCTTCTTGCAATTCATGCACAAGCCTAAATGCTTCATCCATTGTTTGTACCTCCATGCATTCTCAGCTTGTTCTTCTGGATTTCTGATTGATGTTCTAACTCCATTTCCAGTATTCGACGTTGAGTTCAATGCAGGTTGATTCGTGATAAAGGGATTTAGAGAAGATCCACGTAATTGGCCTTCCTTTACTTGACCACCATCTACCAGTCCTCGCCAGGTCGCTTTAGCACGGGATACAAAATGAATCATATTGAAATTATTATCCATTAATAACCGGTCTTTCCTAACCATGCTGTCGAAAATCGGCGGAAGTCCCCAACAAATGTATTGTGCTAATTCCTTCTGAGTGATACGAGAAAACCGTGAGATAGTGCGATGAAGTCCTTGTGCCCGTTTGATGAAAGTATCAAAAGATTCGGTAGGTCTGATTTGCAACTTTCTTAATTGTTGTTCTATGTCCGCCACCCAATCTTCCGGTAAGGTACCTAACGCGATCAAATCCATAACCTCCGACCAAGATTTGCCTTCTAACTCTGATTTGGCTGATTGATACCAGGCGGAAGCTTGTTGATCTACTAATAAAGAACCTAATAATTTCAACCGTGCTTTATCACTATTCAGCTCCTTTACATCAAAGTATTGTTCTGTGAGCCACTGCCAGTGAAATAGTTCCATGGGCTTCCCATAAGGTCCTTTATACTTTGGCACTTCAGCTAATCGTATCTTACTTGCTGTAACAGTCAAGCTCGAGTCATTGCTGTTGCTATCCGAGTTATCACTTGATGGTGTCTGAGTCGGCACGATTGGGGCAGAAGGAGGAGGAGATAATGCTGGTGACCGTGGCGATAATAGCGGAAGTGATACAGGGGCTGTTTCAGGAGGCACCCAGCGTACCGCTGGCGTTGATTGAACCCAAGGGTAGGTCCATGGCATCGCAGTTGGCGGCATCGCAAGGGTTTGACCAGATTCGGAATTGTAAGCAGGCGGGGCAGGACCAAAGTTGGAACAAGTTCGTGACGAAAGGTTGATCGGTGGTGGACCGTCTTGTTTCGCCGGCGCGTGTGTCTGGTTCGCCACAATCGGTGAAGGCGAGACTGTTCCGCTGCCCATGAATTGAGCAAATGGATTGTTCGATCGAGAAGACTGTAAGCTAAAGTCCTCAACCCGTGGTCTCGATTCTCGGCGTTCTTGAGCTAACTCCTGAACTAACGACTCCAGCGCGTCAATTCTCTCACAACGGCGTTCCAAGATTTCATTCTGATTTTGAGCTTTCTGCAACTGTCTGTTTAAAGACTCAATCTGATCTTCGTCTGGGATCTTTGACATTGGGATCTTGCCCTTTCCGGCCGATGTCAAAGGTTCTGCCATAATTCGCTTCACCGGTGCCGGAGGTGTAAATATGAAGGCGCCCGGTGGTCTCGGTGTAGCCTGCACGTCGCGTGACTTGCGAGGTGTGTTGTTGTCCGGCAGTAATCACTTGAAGAACAACTGGACAATTTCTTTGTCACTCGATCGGGATAAGTCACCGTAAGTATTTTGTGCAGGTGTCTCAAGAATAGCAGGCTTAGTCTGATTACTATGAGCTTCAATATTTTTCTGTGGTTCACTTGCAGATAGTTCACGGTATTCCGAAGCAGGAGTTTCCGGAACTTCCGGTTGCCAATTTTAGCGAGGCGGTTTTGGTGCTGGTGGACTAGAAAGCGGCGAGATAGGGTTTTGAGCAGCGCGTGATCGACGGAGTAAAGCGTTGGGATTATCAGTGTAATTCGAAGGAAGATTTCGTCGATCGGACATCCGAAAACAGAAAAGCAGACAGCACGTAGAACAGAAACAGCAGATTTGACAGCAGGGATATAAGACTCAGTCGGAGTGATTACACAGCAGGATTCGGAGATTAATAAGGTTTGTTAAAAAAAAGTATAGGTGAAAAAAGTGTAAGGTTCAAGAGATGAACCTTCACTGTGGATTGTGGAGACAGCTCGAAAGCTCGAAGTCACCTATAAAATATCTCTATCTGATTTCCAAACTGGCTCCGAGTTGGAGAGTCTCCTCCAATCAGCTACCACACTAACACAATACAAAAGCAGAATATAAGAAAGAACTAAAGGATAATGTGCTTACCTGGCTCCGAGTGGGAGAGTCTCCTAAGGAGAAGATTCACTCAGGAGCCAGGGCAACTTGATGACTACACTCTTGATGTCTAAACCCATAATCCATAACAACTGAGATCTACCTGTAAGGTATACCCTTACACATTGACATGATTGGAGTAGACTCAACCGTAAAGACAATTGCACACTTTGGTCGTGCAATTGTGCAACCAAGATCACTATCACCGCACCTCAACCACCTCCTTTTTCACCCTACCCCTACTTCTACCCTCCTTGCATCTACATATCTGTTCACCCTGACTACTGTTGTGTAGATAGACGAAAAGATGCTTATAAAAATCTACAAAAGAATGCAAGAAAGATGACCAGTTTTTGATTTGATTGACTGGTTGGAAAAGCCTAGCAGTGTTTAGACTATACTTTTCTTGAAGAATCAAGTTGGTTCTGAAGAAGTAAGAATAGCAGTAAGTTGATTGATATTTGAAGTCCGTTCTGAGTTAATCAATTTGATGGGAAGAATTGTGAAATGACAGACCGGTTTGAAACTGGGCTACAAAAAAATTGAAATTTTGAAAACCTGGCATTGTTTTTTCGAAACCGGGCGCCAAACAGTGTGATCCTATATGTATATTGATAAAGATTGAAGATCTCCAAGATCCCAGTCTTATTTATAGTACAAAAATAGTATTTTTTATCCGTGATTTTCTTTTCAAACCTCAATAACTCAGTCATTTTACATGATAAAGTTTGATAGACTATATATTCTTGATCTGTGAATACAGGAGCAGGTGTGTACACATTTATGACATCACATGATGTCATCAGAATTTTGCTGGTTGGACAGGCAAATGGCCCCATATGATATTATGTTGAAGTCATTTTGAAATCTTTCTGAATCTTCCAGGAATCTTTCATGAAGCCGTGGTAATCTCTGGCCTGCCAGAGCCTAGTATCTGGGGGCTGTGCACAGGCTCGCCCCCCCCAGCCCACAGGGTCTTCCAGAATCTATCCTGGCCAAGAAATCAAACCCTGCACGCCCTGAAGCCGAGTTGATCCATGAACCTTGAGAGAGGTTGGAGCTCAGGAGGAACCCCCCAGGAGGCCTTCTAGATCTCAAAGCGAGAGAAGGCGGAGGGGGCAGAGTAATTTGGTGCTCAGCTGAACCCCAGGAGCCCATAGCGGGGGGGACAAGTTGTGTCAACATCTGGGGAAGCATGTAATGATTCAGAGGTCTAGCATACACACCATTATTGATTGTTAGTAGGGATGGCATTCTTGGCATACCCCAATGTCAGAGTCTTGCAATTATTCAAGGCCGGTAAGTATGCTGAAGGGCAGGCCTTACTCAACCACCTGATGAACCTCGCACACCCGGGCGCAATGGAAGGTTCAGCCCCTGAGGGTAGTGGCACAATAAACCCGATCCAAGGCGGTAGCGGCATTGCTAGGTCAAGACCACAATGGTTGATACAAGAGGACCCCACGCTGAGCTCAAGTGACCTGAGCAACCTCACTTTTGCAAAGCGGCTAAGGCAGAGGGATCCCCTGACAGCCACTGCAATACACCCCACCCTGAGGTCTAGAGGGGCGGCAGTATCCCAGCATCCAACAAGATCATCCAGTCGACTTCACCCAATCTTTGATCAGCAACCCCAAGTCGGACAGTTGTCAGCAAACACGGTCACTCACCAGACACCACTTGCAAACGTCTTGAGAGAGCCACCAGCAGGTGTCGCGGAAACAAACATCAAACTAGAACTTTGGGAAGAGGCGCAGGTGAAGGTGCTGATGACTTCAAAGAAAGGCAGGCTGGTACTGAAGAAGGGAGATGTGGTAGAAAATGGTCTATACTTGGTGGCGGATCCTACCAATGAAATGGAGAAAGGTTTAACACCCTTGTCCCCGGTGCTAACACACTGGCTGCGTACCTTCAAGTCGTACATCCCCCTGACTGTATTCAACCGGGTCTTCCTGATTGACAACCAGCAGGAGTGGAGCCGTAGGAAAGCGCCTTCGGAGCCGAAGATCAAGGACGGAGCATCTTCATTACGGGTCTATGGCGGAGCTCCCCCTCCAGAGGAACTAACAATGCAATTTGAGCATTGGATTGACGACATTGGCCTCTTCATAAAATATGTGACGTTGGAGGTATGGGAGACTCTGGCAAAAAGTTTCAAAGGACATAGAGAGGTGGTAATGGAGCTTTGGGAGTCATATGGATGGATGATAGCACTTTGCTACTGTTGTCGCCTGAGACAGGGGATGATGCATGAGACCGTGGACAACAGGATCAAGCATTGTAGTACTTTACAGTCAGCAATCTTTGATGAGGCACGCCTGATGGCAGACTCACTGAACAAACGTGCATACCGGACCAATCCGTACGCGCCAGATGGACCCCTTGCACACCTCAACCCTCTCACAGGCCTGCCAAGAGTAACAAATTCATCAGCAAGCAGTAGGAAACCGGTAACAGAGGTGAAGGCGTACTCAAAGACCAAGCTGAGGGGGGTAACCAGTACAAGAAAGGACACAGACTGGATCCCTTTTTCAGAATGGGAGCTGATGAGCCAGGAGCAGAAGAGGGAGGCGAAGCAAGGTATGATCAAAGAAAAATGTATGATCAAAGCGGTGGTTCAAGTCGGTCAAGAGACTACGGTCAGTATAGAGGACAGGAGCATGAGGGGAGAGAAGACCGTGGGACTCACAAGTGTTGTAGCAGGTCTAGAAGAAGGAGCCCAGGAGGAGGCAGGCAAAAGAAGCCAGGTAGTGGAGGTAGACATCAGTGATCTTACCTAGGTTTTGAAATGCATCACAGATTACGCAGCTTAAGTGCCCAAACAAAAATGACTTGAGTGTCACTTGAACAACACCTGACACCCCTGCAACCCCCTTTTGTGCCTCTCCACCATTGTTGATGGTCTCTAGACCCATGAGTAACGCACTCCCCTATGAGGATTGAAGCCATCCAGCACCTGAGACACAGAGAATACGCCAGCGCTGGCCACCGTCCGCGCACCGCAAGATGAACATCTTGATGTGGGAAGCAGAACTCCTGAAAGCTGGTTTGTCAGCAAAGTATAGTGAAATCCCTGTTGGGTTACGGTCAGGTTTTGATCAAGGGGTAGGCATGGAACTCATACCAGGTTTACCGTACTACTGTCCCCCAAACCACGTGTTGGCAATGTTGGCTTGAGATAAGATTGAGAAGTCATTCCAGGAGGAACCCAACAAAGGACGGATGTTCGAGCCGTTCACAAAAGAAGAGGTCCAAAAACACATGGGCATCTTTCAAACAAGCCCTTTGGGGCAGTGGTCCCAGGGAACGGCTCAATGAGGCCAATCAACGACCTGTCTTACCCTTGGAATGACCCACTCCTCCTGTCGATAAATGCCGGGGTCAACAAAGAAGACTACGCCACCACCTGGGACGACTTCAAGGTGGTGGCAAGATTCTTGCGGATAACGCAAGGCCAGCTGGAATGGGCCAAAGCGTACCACCAAATCGCCACGTCACAGAGAGTGTGAGGACCGACCTGGAATTATGGCTAGAGGTGTTGCACTTGGCCAAACCAATGAGAGTAATCCCGGACTACAAGATCCAGAACATCAACTGGGTTGGCAACGCGTCTACGTTGTATGGTCATGGCATCATTGTCGGATGCAGATGGGCACAATTCCGGCTTCAGGAGGGCTGGCAGGAAGATTCAAGGCAAGCCCAAGCGCAACATTGCTTGGGCGGAGACAGTCGCAGTGAGGCTCAGCTTCCTGATGGTGGTGAGGTTGTACAGCGTGCAGGGCAGGCGCTTCCTGATGCTCACTGTTATTTCAGTGACGGAAGGTGCTGTTTGGAATGGGAAGTCCAAGGATTGTCAAGTGAATCAGGAGTGGGCGCGTCTACAGAAGATGCTGATAGCAAGCCACTGTCAGCGGGAAGCAAGGAGGGTGCAATCCGAGGACAACGCAGCTCACTTACTCTTGCAGGGCTGTGATTCATCAAAACATGTGTCAGACGGGATGTGGATCCCGGTTCCAGAGGATCTGACACATCTGTTGCACCAGGAGTAGAGGCAGGTGAGTCAGACTGGAGTCAGGGAAGGAGGGATCCGACAATTCTCACCATAAGACCTGTGTAGATGACATCAAACTTACCAAAGCACTTTCAAGAGGCAGCAGCCAACACCTCAAGGGCTGGTAGACATTCAGCGAGAGGCAGTTGGGTTGGTTCCACTCTAGCAGGTTATTCATTGGGGGTGACAAAATTGATCAAGTTCAAAACAAAGACAGATGGAGAATTTGAAGAAATTTGGCCAATCACGGACTTGGAAATCTATGATTTCATAGCTTGGGCTAGTGAAGGTAAAGGCAAGACGGAGGACGGACCTGCAAGAGTGATAAGCTCGGTAACCATCAAGAAGTATCTGGATGGGATACAAGCCTGGTATAGGGTTAAGCATACTTCTCGCCGCTCCGTTGACTCAGATATGGTTAAGACCCTCCTGCAGGCAACAAAACAGTCAGAAGAGCAGAAAGACCTGGTCTCAAACAAAAATCCGATAACAATACATCAACTATTTAACTTGGTACCGGGATGCAACAGAAGATCCAAAATTGACAAACTTACCAGTACAGTAGGCCTGGTCATGTTCTGGGGGATCACTCGTCTAGGGGAACTCTTGAGGAAGTCAGCCGCAGAAGGAGCTCTGTTGCGGCGCCATGTCAAGTTTGGAACATCAAAGGGTACCCATTTCTTTTGACTTCCCCCCCGGAAGGCTGAGACAGCCACCCCAGGCGAGGTGCAAGTGATTCACTTGCAGCAGCAGCTACACATCCTCAATCCGGTAACCGTGATCCATTGTTCAATCCACCGAAATCTTCAAATGTCCCCTGATGACCTCCTATTTGTGTCGTACAAAACCGGAAAATGTGTACCACTGACAAAGAGGAAGTTTCTGAATGGGGTGGAGAGCATTTGGGGTAGATCAAGCTTGGGTACATGGAGTGGTCATTCTTTTTGGGTTGCGGGGGCATTGCTACGGTTAAACTTAGGTGTGAAAATGGAGGCAATAGCGCGGCAGGGGCGGTGGAAGTTGTTGACGTACTTACGTTATTGCAAGCCGTTCCCGCAGGAGGAGATTGATGACTGTAGGAATTTCCTGGAGGCCATCGAGGACCCTGACTGGGTCTGTAGGTTTGACGCAGGAGAGCTGAACAAGGGGTGAGCAAATGATCAGATTGGGTGACGCAGGAGGAAATAGGGAGCAATGAATAAGATACCCAATATTCACTGTTGTACACACACCTTAAACAGGAATAAGGTTTGAGCTGAGTAACTCTAAACCAGGGAGCAAATCTGTGTGGCGTCAAGAGTAAACAAGCAGAGTAGCCACCAGAACACTCAGCGATTGTGCGTGGGGTGCACCCCTTTAGGGCCCAGGACGTTTGTTCCAAGCATTCCGGGGTTTTGGGAGTTTGGGGCACACGCACACACATCAGTAGGGGGCGGGTGGGCCTGGAGAGGTCACTTACCCAGAGGATGACTTGGTTGCAGAGAACCAAGAATTGGTTTTGTAAAACCAAGCCCTGGTTTTGTAAAACCAAGCCCTTGGGCCGGGGGCCTTTGTCCCCTGTACCTGCCCTCCTGACAGCGGTAAGGAGGGCAATGTGGTGGGTTGTTCCAACCCAGAGTGTCCAATGGAGACACAGACAGACCCCCTGCGGGGTCTGGCAGGTCCAAGACCCTCTTGAAGCTCACGTGGCAAGTGAGAGAATGGATCTTAGCATCATCAACTGATGGACATGTTATTTTATCAGTCTGAGCAATTTCATTATGTTTGTCAACCTGTGTCTTTTACAAAGACCATTTCCTTTTGAAGATAAGTTGCTTCTCTGAAATGAATTTCGTAAGGCTGTGTTGTTTCTTTGTACCTATACATACCACAACCCCTGTGTTAGAAAATGCAAATTCAATTAACAATATTGGAGTGTATATCAATTTCATCTGACCCTTTGGGTGTAGGAACTATCACTGCGAGGAGAGTTCTGTAACTCAAGCCTGAGTATGCAGTGTATTACTCAGACTCTCAGAGTGCATACTCAAAATCTGAGTGACAATTTGTCACAGCGCTGACATGTGAGTTCAAAGCAGGTTAAGCACCTTCAAGTCATGGGTTTTGCCACCCCCCTTCCCCCCTTGTATTAAACTGCCTTAGATAGGCCTTTACATACATACATATGGAAAATTGCCTAGCATACACATGTACATTCTGCTCCAAATGCTTGGTTTTACCCCTATTTAAAACCTTGTAAAATACCATACTGCATCACGACAATTATGGTAGGTGTCCGCCTTAAGGCTCCTTAAGGTCCCTCTTGCAGATCTGTCAAACCTTGGCAAACTGCAGTTTGCTTTCTTTTTGTTTTTTTTTGCAGTCAAACAAAAGCTGCAGTTTGCACCCTTCATGTTTCTTTTTATGTCATATTTAAGACTTTATCACAACTGACACAACAGACTCAAAAGAACTTTGTTCTGGATCTTCCAATGATCTCATTCATATCCTTACTCAAGCCAGATCCTTGAATTGATCTTACCATACTATCACTTTTGATCAAAAATCAAGATTAAATTACAAATTTCCTCAAACCTCAACTCAGAACCAAAATTCCACAACTTGAATCAAATTCAAAGCAAAGTTCACCATCAGATTGATCACAACATTCCTAACATTTACCATTGTTCAGCATTTTAGTCAAAGCAATGTTCAACTTATCCTCAAAGTTCATTAGAATCTGATTTCAAAAATAATTGGTTTCATTAAAAAATCAAATCAAATCAAAGAATCTGGTGAAAATCTTGTGAAAGAAATGGAAAAGAATTTAAAATTTAAAGAACACAAAAAAGTTGTATCTGGGATTCGGTTTTAAATTTGATTCAAAAGCTTGGTAAATCAAAATATAGTGAAAAGAAAGTTATTACATGATGATACTTAAAGATGAAAGTTTGTTCAAAGTAAAAAGGTTGGACACTCTGTGATTCTATCTGATCAACTGAATTGTATTTACAAGTATACAAATATGTAATTGTTTTGATTGAAGTGTTGCATTGTTTATATGCAATAATTGATCATTGAAATTAAATCAAAGTGAGCAACAATGACATGCAGTGATGAGTTAGTGATTCACAAATACCTGTTGTGATGTCAATGTTGAAGGAGGAGCACACGAGTGCAGGGTACGTTGTTGGATTGCCTGAGTCCAACTTGCAAGGGAGAAAATTTTGGCTCCAAAAGGAACCAGACGGGTCCAAACTGCAGTTTGTTTTGGTGGCCTACATGGTACATACAGAGACCTAAGCCGGGCTACATACCTAATGTACTTTTAGCTATGTGGTATGGTTTAACTCAAGATAAATTCAGTATAAGGGCAAAATGTATAGTAAGTTTTCCGTATGTGTATGTGATAGGGCCTATGTAAGTAGTTTAGTCCGAGGCGTGAAAACCCATGACTCAAGAGCACTAAGCGTGCTTTAAAATCACACGTCAGCGATGTGACAAATTGTCACTCAGATTTTGAGTGGGCACTCTGAGAGTCTGAGTAATACACTGCATACTCAGACTTGAGTGACATAACTCTCCTCGCAGTGTACCTTCCTTAGATATCTAGGGAATGTTCCAATTTATGCTCAAGCGCAACCGTGTTCTGGCTCCAAGGGACACCGCAAGAGGGACTTTGTTAAGTTAACTCAATCAGGCTTCAAACCTATTAGGGGTTGGGCGAAAAAGCGACCAACCGGTCGCTAA